ATAAATAATGGTTGATAGCCATATCATATTGCCGAGAGGCCCTGCGACCTATTACATCAAAGACCACGCAGAGAGATTGGACTCGCCGGCCTATATTCAATGATGTTCGCATGGGGGGCTTCGTTATCGTCAAAAATTGGGGCTCTACCAATTGCTACCACTATGACAATCACTTCCCCAAGGGCAACCACAACACCAAGGTGCTCATGAACAAGGGCCACATTTATGGACCAATCCTTCATTTCGGAGTCTTCGACAAATTCTTTGCGGTACAAATGCCGATTCTCAACTACGGTTTACGATGGGTAAACAAATGGTATTGCGACAAAAACATGCCTCTCAAGGGCGTTGTCTTCGCTTTGCCAGTGCGTGCCGACATCGACCCAAGGCACATGAATATCGCACTTGAAGGCCCCTCTTCATGCAGCGACCAGATCCATAAGTATAAAGAATCAGGTAATCTACCATATCTTGGAATGCCGAGCATTTACAAGCCACGTATCCCACGTGCACCGACCAGACGCTCCGCTCCTCGGACACCCGATCCCGACGAGCTGGCGGCAAGACCTGCCGAGGATCCCACTGCAGAAGACGATGGATCCCGACAAGAGGCAGGCCAATCCACAGAGCCTCTGGTAACTGTCATTGTGGATATATCTACCATACCACTCACAGATGAGGAGAAAGCAGCCAATGATACCACGAGGGCAGATCTATCGGCTGAAATTCACGCTGATGAAGACATCGGCTCGAGCATCCTGGATAATATTATCGACCCGCCAGAGACCTTCCTCAACCACCCCGACTACGACCCAGAGGATGGCACAATATGGATCTTGCAATCTTACGACCACCGCATATACCGCTGGACGTCGGAGTTGTTGGTGGATTCACCTATGATAAAAGTGAAACAAATAATCGAGGTACACGCTGGCAGGGACAAGATTTTGGTGGACCACATAGAGTCACACTTACGATTTGACATGCAATTTGGACCAACAACAGACATATACCACATGGATTACAATCATACCCACAAATGGGCACGCGACTTACCGATTTGCAGTGCAGATAGTTTCTCCTAGCAAGTAGTACACTACCTGGACCCAGAGGGCATTGAGGAATCGACCACAGGCATATTTCAATGGATTTCCAAAGTGTACCAAATCATATTATTGGACAGCATCAAGGAGCTACGTGATTTTACAGATGATGTTATTTATCAGAACCATCCCGCCCTCAAGGCGTTGCGCGATCTCTTCGCAAAGTGTATCCAGACACATGGCAATCCAGGCTTCCCCGTATGGCGGGAGCCAGTGGAGACACCTGCCGCGCCTCATCAGGACGACCCAGGCGCTGAGCAGGATATTCCCCGGGACCCCGGCAGCGTTGCTTCCGCAGCTCCAGACCAAGAAACCATGGTACATATCATAGCCGAGAAAAAGAGGATCGACCGCAAGATGGGCGACAATGAGGCCATCTTGCAGGCAGAGGCTAACCGCATCCGCACAGACAACATACACCATGGTGTTACTGATACTGCGGACAACGACACCTCCTGGTACGCAGGACTACCGGGGGGAAGATTGTCTAGGATCGAGATAGAGGGGATGAGCCGATCGATCGCCTCCCGTCCGACCGCTGAGATCAATCGAGATGCCGTGGATCCGATCGGCTGTGTTCTCGCCAGCGGCCCCGACACCCGCTGGGGATCCCGTGAGCACCTTGCGATCTCCGGGGCCCCAGAGGAGATCCAGCATGATATCGCGCGATGTCGGAATTGCGATCGTTTCTTATCTCTCGGAATCGTCACAGATGACGGTACAATTTGTGATATCTGCTGGCAGTATACTGTCGCTGTAGGTGCTACCGGCAAAGGTGGCGCCGCGGAGAGCGACCTGGAATACCTCCAGAAGTTGACCCACTGGATCAAGACGACCCTCTCCCAGGACGGCATCACCAGGTATATGACAGACGGAGCGCAGGTCCAGATCATGGGTCAGCGCTCCGTATCTGGTAAGGATTCCTTGAGGAGATTGGCGAAGAAAGCTGACGACAGGTATAAGAGGCGGGTCGAAGCAGGCTCCCCTCCTGCACGGTATTGCAGGTTGATGGGCGAGACTGAGGACGACAGACCTCTATACCACCCTTTCGCCAATCTCGTTCAGCGTTTCCTGGGCGATGTAAAGTTCCACCACCAAATGACAGCCGCTCGTGTCAATAAAGGCGAGAAGGCTTACACTATTGAGGACATGCGTGACGCCTGTGATATTCGCGATCACAGCGTCAGGACTGGCCAAGCTGGTCGGAAGAAATGGCGGTTGAACACCGGCAGACTCGATCGAGGCACGAGGCAAGAGCGCGGACTTATCACGATTGCCCTTCCCCGCGGGGATGGCACTCGCGAGAAAGTCACGCAGCGAGAGCTTGCCGTGCTTGCCTCTATCGAACCTGCCATGGGTTCTACAGATCAAAGGGGGGTTAGTTCAGGGATTAGAGCCGATCCGATCGATCCTGATACACACTCTTCACATTCTCATGGCGCCATGGGGCCACGGCAGCCGCGGCGCCCGCCGCCGCCGCGCCCTGCTCCTGGCGATGCTGCTGGACACAGTGCCTCTGGCGCGCAGGGCGACACGCCCGCTGGGCCGCGCGGCGCCGCCGCGCAGCGGCAGAGCAGCGATGGCAGCCGCAGACCAACGACACCTCCCCGCGCCAAGAGGGCGCGCAGGACGGAGGACTACGCGACGTGGTAAGAGGTGCAACGATGGCGAAGATAACCGGTAACAACATAACAACGATACAAACAATGCCGCTGGCCATAACAAAATCACTGACTGCCGTCGGATCGGTGCGGGGCCTAGCTCCTCCTCGCCCCGGGTGGGAGCGCGGGCCGCGGGCAGCCCGCTAAAACCTAGAATGAAACTCGTTGCAGTTGCAGGCCCTGCTCGGCCCCTTTTTTTTTTTGCCGACGGTTCCCCTGGGCCCCCGGGACCCTTCAATGTCCTGGCGGCCGCTGGCTCGGCGCAGGGCCGCGGGGGGGCCGCTTAGACCTAGACCTGACCTAGAATGAAACTCGTCGCGGGTCTTGACGGTCCTTGTTGTTTTCCCGACGGTTCCCTTGGGCCCCCAGGGCCCCCAGGGCCTTTCTCGATGGCCCTGGCGTCCGCTGGATGGGCGCGGGGCCTTTCTCATTTCAAGACTTGGAGAGGAGAGCATGGTCACTTTTGGTTCGAGATGCACAGGGCAAGGGACCGCCAAGCAGCAGCGTCATTGCCGAAGGTGCCCTGGCCTCACCAATTCGCCCCATTGGCCAGATCGGAACTTCAGCCAGCCACTCGATGACAGCGAATGCTATCAGCCCCTGGGACGACACTGCGCAGACGATCCACGACAGATTTCCAGGTCTGAGTGGAAAAGGCCTGATGCAGATGGTTCGCCGCGTGTACAACGCCACGCCCGACGTCTTCAATGCGAATTTCTTCGAGAACGTGAACGGACAGAAAGTGCAGATGATCTTCCGCCACCCTGTAAATGACAGGGACCAGGAGGAGGCCAGGCAGAAGTACATCAGCGCGATCAAGGATGACGGCGTCATGGAGGAGTGCAGGAGCGACATCGTAGGGGTCTATCTCACGGACGAGGAAGTTCGGGCGGCTGCCAAGAAATATCACAAGTCAGGCACGGAGGTTGAGATGTTGAGGAGTTGGACGCCTTCACCCAGACCGAGCCTCGAACGTCTTTACCTCTTGGCGGGCGCCACCCTGATAGAGGCAGCTTACATGGCTCATGCAGAGGCGCCCGAGTTGCCGAACGTCAAACTGACCATCGAGACAGGAGTGAAGGTCAGCCTTCTCGAGTCGAGATCGCCACCGGACGCTCTGGTGTACGTCGTGCACGAGCTGAATGACAAGAACGCGCTCTTCACGCAAACGAACGTCATCCAACTCTACAAATTGTGCCCAACGATCGAGACGCACTGGAGGCGGGACCGGAAAGCCAAGCGCCTCGCAGGAGATGCGGACAAGGTGCAGGGTGGCGAGGCTGCTGGAGAAGAAGAAGACGGAGAAGCTGCAGGAGAAGAAGCAGGGCAGGAGGGGGCTGCTGGAGAAGAAGCTGACGGATCCACCACAAGTAAGCCCGCTTCTACCTCTCAGGCCTCTCAGGCGGGCCTCGAGACAGAGTGCAAGGCCTTCCTGGAGAAGCATTGCCCAAAACGCTTCAAAGCCTTCGACGCCTTCAAGCTGGCCCGCAACTTCAAATCCGAACTCGCGAAGCTTGGCCTCTGGGACAGGTACCAGACTTGGGCAAACAAGAATGTCACGTGGAGCGACCCGAACATCATCAATAACAACGTCTTCCGTAACAACTCGATTATCTTGAAGGCTTTCCAGAAGATAATTCCCAATGATGAATGGGGCGATCGCAGCAGCGATGACCTCCTGACGGTGCTCAAGCTTGTCCTGCCGAATAGCAAGGCGACCTTCAGCATGGATTGCAAAGGCGACGCGCAGAAGATCCACTTCTTGTTCGTCCCAGTTCCATCTTCCAAGACTTCGACGCCGACGAAAAACGCCAGGGGTTCGAAGGGGCCGAACCAGAGCCCGACAGCAACAGCACAACCGAAGGGCAAGGGAAGGGCAAAGACAAAAGGTAAGGCGAAAGCCAAGGCGGTGAGAACGAAACCAAAGGTGGATGAGACTCCAGAGACTGTGACCATCACCTTCCTGAACGACGTGCGACGCGCCATCGACATCGCAGTCCACGGCAAGGAGCGCATGCACGACAATATCGAGGCTATGAAACTACGAATCTTTCAGTTTGTCATCATGGGATATGTGTCCTTGCCGTCCCTGAAGAACGGGGGTGTGGATGACTTCAAGACATTCAAGACGTGGAAGACCTTGCGAAAATATGTCAAGACCAAGCTCGCCATTGACCACGCTGACGCCCCTGCTGTGACCTAGGTCCAGCGCTTGAGCGACGACTCCAGCAGCGGCATGTCAGATGAGGAGCCTGGGACGGTGGAAGTAGGGCTGCAGATCACGGACTTGCTGGCCCGCGAGCCCAAGCTTTTGTCTAGCGCGTTGGCGTTGGCAGCGGAGATCCCATCGTTGTCTGACAAGAACGCTCCTCCCTTCGAGTCTATGTCCATCCCGCTGCTGAAGAAGACTGTCGGCCCGGTGAGCAAGGCCATCGGGATCATGTGGCAGCGGATTACAAACCCGCGCGACGAGGATGTCCAGAATCTCCGAGCGGCCTCCTCCATCAGCGAGGCCGCAGACATCATGCTGACCTTGATCACGGACGCCGTCTGGGCTACTTTCAACCCGAGTGTCATCGAGCTTGGCACGTACTGCTACGCAACAGTCAAGGGCGACAGTGACCAGAGGGACCAGAAGCAGCCTCCGGAGGAAAAGTCAAAACAGTTCACGTGGGCCACTATCAACACGAAGATCAAGACGCTTGACCAGGTCTGGCCCAGCATTTCGAAGCTCGAGGAGTTCCTGAAGATGTGGGCCGTCTGCGTGAAACTTCTGTTTGGGGAGTTGCTTGAATCCTTCGACGAATTGAAGATCGATCAGAAGGTGAGCGCTGACATCCGCAAGAGCATTCCCTTGGTGAACGCCTTCGCCACTCGCTGCCCCGAAGCCGTGTCGGCCATCGACTGCAACAAGATCCAGAAGAAGGAGTGGACGGTTGCGTGGAAGAACATCTTCATGAACGCCCAGAACTTGACGTCTGAGGAGTTCGCAGGAGATAAGGACGACAAGTTTTACAAGGATCTCGAAGTCACCATGAAGAGCAAGGTTTCCAAGTATCCCAAGGCATTCCTGGAGACCGATTTCAAGAAGAAGCTGTCTAGCCACATCATCATCGAGAAGGACCTGGCAAATAAGGAGAAGCATGAGGCCATGATCAAGCATCTCGCCGCATACGAAGTCAACGAGGTTCGCAAGAAGACGGACGCAATTGAGAAGATGTGGAAGGATACCATCTCAGCGGTGATGATACAGGAGTCTGGGGGGCACGACGGAATCCTCGCTGAAGAAGTTGCGTCACAAGTCGATGAGGCAATGGAGGCCGTGACTACGAACGCCAGCGATGAGAAGACACTGGTGCAGTTCCCTACCTACGGCACGTCCGAAACAAGTGCAAGTCTGAAGGCAACAGTCTGGAACCCTACCGTCTATTCGCACGTGACAACGGCCGCTGCCTTTGACGAGTGGTCCTCCGGGCGCATGAACGACACTGGCGAAGGCGACCTGGCGATCAAGCTTAGGAACGGAACGGCATCTAGGCTCTACGCTAACATTCAGAACGCCATCGGCCATGATCTCAAATTCCATCTTCCTGGCAGGTTCAGCACATCTACCGTCGGTTCACTGGGCTACAAGGCCGAGGCCAAACTGCTGACTGAAAAGTCCTCCGAGAACTCTGGAAGTCCGAGAACCATGATTCGTCGCTTACGTTGCCGTCGATGGTGGCCCTCCCAGGAAGTGCGATGACGTCGGTCGGGGCTGTGCGCGGTCCGTGCGTGCCTGGTTGGATGGTGCGGGTCATCAACCTTCGCAAAGGTGCCCGCGTGCAGCCAGGAGATGAGAAGTACGAGATCCCAACTATGATCGAAGGGCCCCCTGCCGAGGTAAATGTCATTAGCAGTGACGAGAAAACCAAGTTCCAGGTATTTGTGAAGAGCTTGGTTCCGAATCCTACCTACCTCCAGATCGCATTGAATGACGAGGAGCAGAAGAGGCTGGAACGCGAGATTATGGACAAAAGTAAGTCAGATAAGTCAGAGAAGTCAGATACATCATTTAAGAAACGCACTTTTCACTCCATGATGGCCGAGCTGACCCGCAACCCCTTCGACGAGGAAGTCGACATGGCCGCGATTGCCTTAGAAAAAACCGCCAGAACGCTGCCGAGTCGGAACTGAAGAAGGAGGTGATTCTCAACGAGGTGGACGCAGACGTGGACGCAGATGCGCCTGTCATCACCAAGGAAATGGCCCACCACCTCTTGCAAGGATTGGGCCAACGAGCGGGCAGGGCACCTGCCTCTGAGCCGACGCCTCTGCCCCGAGTCTGCAGGTTTCGACTGGACGTGTGGAAGTTGATTCGTTCAGAGCAGGTTTGACCCGACCTTTTGAGGAAAACATGTCCGAGAGCCACATATAGAAAAGTAAGGCCTAAGGGCCGTAGGGCCTAGTAGGCCTGAGCCTTGAAGGCCTAGTAGGCCTCAGTCTTGAGCTTAAGCAGTCGAGGAACTGGGGAGAGATAGGCGCGGATAGAATCCTCGTCGTCTTCCTCCTCCTACTCCTACTTGCCGTCCGCCCACTCATAATACAACAAGTGCAAACACAGACAATGAGTAGGGGAGTCAGGGCGGCGGCGGCGACGCAATGGATATCCTAAGGAGATGACTACGAGAACGGTGACGACGATAACGACTCGATGGCGACGACGGCGAAGGAGGGAAGAGCGGAGCCCGGGGAGAGAAACAGAAGAAATAACGACGCGGGAGATGGGACTGGTAAGAAGGATGTGAGAAAGCAACAGGTTGGATTGTAAGTCATGGTCGTGGAGTCGCGGGCTCAGCTAGCGAGCCCAATTCTCTAATGAAGCCCCCACCAACGCGAACAACTTATCAAATGGCTCTCGGACCATTCCGCCGACGTGCCTGGGTTGCGGTGGGGGGAGGCCTCTTGGATGTCCTTTGGGATCTCCTGGGAAGCCTATCGGTTGCCTCTCGGGCCTCTCGGGGGCAGGGACGGGGGCTGTGTGTTCGGCCCTCTCACGTAGGTTATTCGAGGCTTTGGGGGGGTTATTGCGGCCTCCGTGGGCCATGATCCATGGGGCGCCGTTGGGCTTAAGTGGTACTTCTAAGGTACTTCTACACCGTATATGAGCATATACACGTCATGCAAGATCACGGATGTAAGCTAAGCGCGCGTAAACTGATATACCTAATCACATCAAATATTTCCAACGGTGCATGCCTATGTACATACTTACGCACGGATGTTCGTGGCCACAAAGATTGGGTGGCCACGAACATGCACGCAACATGCACAGACAAGGACACACAATGTACTTGCGCATGTGAAATGTCACAACGCTGATGTGAGCGACACTGCACTATGAAACTTACAAGCGCGTGATCTGTAAACACCCGTGCGCGCCACATTGCACCACACCGCAAGCAAACATGCAATCGTTCATGGTGTCATGTGCAGATGCTGACCCATTCCGCCTAACTGTGCAACGGTCGGCTACGCAACGATATACATGATGCGCATCCGTTCCAGTTGCGAAATCGTCCCACCACGTGAATGCTTACCAACATCAAATCCCGAATCACACCAAGACATGGTAGACCGCCTAAATTTATGGATTGCCAAATCGGCACGCTAGGTTATACGGCACATAATGCGAGGGTGAATAAGGCTGGCGGGCGAGTCGTTGCAGAAATTTGCGCTGGCGAAAAGTTGCCATCACCTCAGCGCGGGTGAAAAAAACGCAGCGACACAACAATGGTGGATCCTTACATGGGCACAAAACCGCGCGAACAAAAAACTTCAAATCTAGCCACGCAAGCCATTTTAACCAGGAGGCCCGCCATCCCCAAACAACAAAAACTGAACATAGAATCGGGCTCTATCTCACGCACCCAGGCCATCGCATGCGACGCTGGCTACGACCCGAACGCCAAGGACGACGACCGCGTGTGCTTCACGTACCACGCCCAAACTGGCCGCCCTCGCGATCCCGAGGATGGCTTTGCCTACGTACATCATCAGCGCGTTGATCGTAGTGCAGAGTATGATCTACGTGTACCCGACGAATCCACTATTGTCGAAGTTACCCGTTCCGCGTCCGCCGACGCGACGAATTTTATCGGCAAAGTTGATGGAGGAGTCGGCGGCAACGCCAACTACGAGTACAGTACGACCACGGCTACGCCATGGATGTCATTCATGAGAGCCATGTGCATGATCTCCAGCTTCTTCACACGCAATTCTTCTGTACAAGAAAACGTTCGTGGCTTACATGATCACTTGCATGCTGTGATTCCAAACTCACACCGCAAGTGTCCACCAATGGAGCTCACGACGGCAGTATTAAAGGCAGAGTGGATGATGATGCACAACGATTGGTCAAACGTTGGCAGTGCATTTCTCGGGCAATACGCCGAGGACAGCGTTCAGGACACAAACTACTTCTACAAAGATGGGCTTTGTGCGCCTCACGATGTATACAGTAATGGATTGACAACTCCCAGCTACGCTCCTAAACTTGATCGCGCTACGATCAAACTACCCGTTCGTCCACCTGGCATGGCCAGGACATCAGATACTGCGGAACACCTCGGCCACGTTGTCGAGGATAACCTTGTCACCGAAGTGAGGGCGTTCTCCGATCTCACCCAGACAGGCACATTCCGCCGCAAGCTCAGTACGTGGTTGACTGCACGCGGAGGATTTGGAGGTACCGGATCAAGCCCCAAGACGGTGGCAACACCATCCGATCACCCAGACGGCTGGAAAATCCTCCCAGGGTACGACGACAATCATTGGCAACCATACGAGGAGGGCTCTGTGCTGCCCAGCGAAACGCCTACCAAGGAGGACCCTGGTCGTACTCCTGGTACTGATGTTGATCCGCTAGAGCTTGAAGCAAAATACAGCGCGTTTTGTGGTGGTCGATTGGTTTCTACCCTTCTTTCAGACAGCGGGTGGCATTCACTCATACAGGAGGACCTGGGACTTCTTCTACATCATGCATTTGGCCCGCCAGGGCGCGCATACAAATGGGCAAATCTGCGCGCGGACTCAACATGGACCATGCACCCCAAGAAGGGATCCAAGACCGCCAAGCGCAAAAAGTATCCCAGCCACGGCATCGACGAGCCCAACAGCCCACAAAAGCGAGGCGCTCTTGCTAAAGCATCAAACGTTGGTCTCGTACCTTTATTTATGCCGTGCCTCAATCGTGCAGAATGCATCGGTGGCGCCACCCTCGAGCACTTGTCGACCGTCATCCGCGACGACATTACGATGTGGGCATTCTCCTTTGGCAATTACAAAGAATGGTTCAAACAGAACGACACGGCGATTGGCCAGGACTGCATTCTATTGCCAGAGGTTGGTGGCGACGCCCGCTGTGATATGGCACAGCTCCGTGATCAGCGTGCGCAGACACAGGAGAACCGTATCACAGCTATCCTTGCAAACCAGTTCGAGTCTACACTCGAGCAGCGCAACATGATCCTCATGATCCGCAAGGCCAGGGGCTTGACGCTGATGAACGACAATGCTTCTATCAAAGGGTGGCGTATATTGAATGAGGTCATATGGGATTGTTGGGCAAATGTCTTCCCTGCATTTGTGAAACAAAGACACTACTGCAGAGGCCTCAACGCCATGGTGGTCTGGAGTGCAAACGACATTGCATGTGCCAACCACGGTCAAAACATATTGGACACGCGTCGCCATGAAGATCGCGCTCATACTTCCGCGCGCGAGCTCATGAAGATGGAGTGCGAGGGTGGCGTCCCGACGCTTATGCCAGTGCACGTACAAGTGGATCTATCTCGTTTTATTGACGTGATGCAGTACTTTTGTTGCCCCACGGTCACGGGGCCAGGCAAAGCGACACAATGGGGTGTACACCCGGACTTCGACTACCGCACGGGTGATCTGATCAAGACAATACAATCACGTGGTATTACAGTCCTTCCATCAGATCACTGGATAGATGCTTACGACAGGATTATGCCTCAGGCTTGGCATTCGACACAGAATAATCACAACCTGGCAATGTTGACGACTCAATTCTGCGATGCAGTATGCTATCGCAATTTCTGCGCATTGATCCAGTCATTACCATCTCAGCCTTATCCATCCAGACCTCCTATCCTGACTCCGGTCACGGACGCACAGGCCTACACCCAGGCCAAATAAATTATGGAGGCTCTTCAATGTCGAGAGAAGATAACCAATGAGTGGATGAGAGATCTCAGCCTCGCGACGCTGATGACTCAGACTGCTGGAGAAATGGCTCATTGTGCTTGGATGGCATCTTGTGCCAGCGGTACTTTGCCAAAGTCAATGCCATTGGCAACGGGCGATCCATGCGTCCCCATCCCTGGACTCGCAAAAGAGCCACCAGCACTTGATCCTCGCGATCCTACCAAGGCTATTCCTGGTAATGACCCATTTGGTCATGCATGCGACGAGTTGTTCAACTACCTTCTACTTCTGATCAACGACTACCCCGGGGCGTGGGCATCTTGGGATTCACCTGAGAAGAGAGAGCTCTTTCATTCCAAAATTGTGAAAGAAATTCAGGATGCACGCGCTGTTACCTGGGTCGTGTACGAGCAGTTCCTACAGCAGATACCTGATTTGGACGGCGATGACGATTTGACCAAATCACGCATCATCGCAGAGGGCAACATATTGAACTCTCATCGTATTGGTCCTCGTAAGGACAACCAAGACATTATTATAGCACGCAAAGGTTTCTTTGCACAGAACGCCTTGGATCGGCTTGCATTGGGGCTCGAGGCCGACGTTCCAACTACCTTCTGGCGCGCGGCAGTTAGGACAGACCAGCAGGCCGAGGACGGGCAGCCAGTGCAACCAGGCCCACTGCCTGAACCATTGCAGCCTGGCCCGCAGCCGATCCCTTTACCAGAGCCATTACCGACTGGCCCGCTTCCGATAAGCAGGCCAGCTGATCCATCGCCACCAGACCTGCCGCCGACAGCCGCGTCAGTCCCGAT